GAACCATATCTCCCAAACCTTTTTGGTAAGGGACTTCTCAACCTCGTTTGATTAAGGTAACGTTCATGGTATGGTTTTCTATGTGCCGGGCCAGTCCTTCCTTTCCCTAGATAACTAACAATTTTTTCACATACATATTTTTATTAATAAACAACCAACAAACGCATACCAATATCTCATATCACATTTATAGATTAATTAAACTACATTCATGCCGAAGATATATAACCAAAATAACCAGATAAGTTGATAAGACCATTGAACTATAAATTAAGAACATGTACCAAATAAAAATCAAGTAAGTAAGACAATACAGGAAAATAAACAGGAAATCAAAACAATTGTGAACTAACCGGTTCTAACTCGACTAGTAACCTGTAATTATTTTTAGAATTTTCTAATTTTTCATAAGAACACAAAATTATACTTCATTAAGCTTCAATTTACCGTAGCAGAGAATATGGTGAGGGATTCTTACTCGGCTTGGTATTCTGAAACGTCAAGCTGTAGACTACGCCTCCTATCGGGTACCGGATTTCTTAAATTTTTTGTAAATCCAACACTCATCACATATTTAAAAATATCACAAAAATTCAAGATAGGTGTCCAAAACCCATTCTGGCCAATTTTGGGATTCCGACACAGCGCCGGTGCCGTGCTTTGGTGCCGGCTCCGCCGCCCACCGTGGTGGTTCACCTCGGCCTAGCCAATTTTGGCCAATTTTGGTCGTATCCCTGCAAAAAAATACGTTAAGGCCCTCGATTGGCTAGAAAATCACAAAAAATTGAACTTATTGGCAGGGGAAACCTCTAGGTGCGGTGGCTTTGTCGGTCCTCCTTTGCTGCTGAGGTTCTTTCTTTGGCTAATCTGCACAGAAAAGGACAGTAAACACAATGATAAAAAAATCACGTGAAACAAAAATCAAGAAGGGGCTCATAGAGGGATTTTTGGGGTTTCGGTCGCAGCGGCTCCACCGGGCTTTGCCTGTAGTTTCTGGCTCACCCGTTGTCCCTCTTACTCTAATTTGGCTACATGGGTGCTCGGAATCAAATTCTGAACGGGTAGGGAGAATTTTTACATTTTTTAACGGCTGACAGTAGCTCTGGTGCGGCGACGGTCGGTCTCATTCTCATGTGTCTAGTTTTTCTTCTCCGACAAGGGCTGGTGGTTAGGGTTTGGGTTCCCATGTGATCCGAAATTTTTATACCCATCTTGCATTGATCTGGACCATCAATTGCGATCGATCTCGTCCGTTCGATCGTGCTTAAAGAAAAAACGAATCTGGACTGTTTATCACGATTGATATTGATCGTTCGATCATGCCTAAGAGAGAAACAAATCTAGGCCGTCTACACGCGCGTTGTAACGGCCCCGGAAATTTAAAATGAAATATGTATTAAAAATATCAAATGCGGAAGTGAAGTCAAAATTTTGATTAAACATCCCTTACACTAAAACCAAAAACGTGCTCAAAATATAAAACATCAAACTAACTAAAAGAAACTCGAAAGTAAAAGCTATGAATATGACTATGGAGCCTTTAGGCGTCCCCTTCGTCGTCTTCCTGCGGAACGGGCTCGGGAACAATGTCTTCCTGATATGAAATGATTAAATGAGGAATGAGCTACACTAGCCCAATAAAGACATCACGATATCTCACCGTCACGGAGGTAAAAGTGGGTAGAAAACACAAAAAGACCAATGGAGCATAATTTACAACAAATCATTTTATCCATAATAAATCATTTACCATCCACTTACCTCGATGAAATTCATAAAACAATATACGAAAGCAATAACATTATCATCATCATGAAATTATATAAACTGTATAACATAATACTTATCACGCCTTTTGTAATTCAATCATTACACAACATATTTTTCTCATTTACCAGCCCACTAGTATCCATGGGGATCCATAGGGGTCCTGCTACCCGTTAACCCTTAACACTTGAAATCAGATTCCAGGGCTGTCCCCATACCCTGTCCGGTATGGGCGCCAAAACTATAAACCTCATTACCCCGTCCGGTGTGAGGGTGAAACGGGCCGTCCCCATACCCCGTCTGGTATGGGCGCCAAAACACATAAGATCTCCATACCCCGTCCGGTATGAGAGACCACAATCCCGGTAGGGTTCCCTACGGACCCGGTCCGTCCACCATCTCTCAGGATATCTAGTCAGGCTGACCACATTATACAATTACCCATTTGCATAATCTTTCATTCTCTTTTTCCTCAGTCAGCATCATCAATCCACATACAAACAAGCAAAACAGTAATTTATGCCAAACAGACAACATACAGCATCAATATCCCAGTCATTCAATCCGTAATCAATAAAACAGTAAAATATGCACACGAAAATATAAAATGAAAACATCAAACCTCATACTGCATTTAAAACTGTAAAATAGGACAAATAACAATTAACCGACAAACATACTAGACTCGGGCTCCATTAGCGGCCTTAAGCAATTTCACACATTTGTTGATTCAAGAAATACCGTTTTATCATTATTGAACTTTAATACCGTGATAGGAAATAGGGTGAGGGGTCCTTACTCGTTTCGGGGTCCGAACACGGCTTCACAGTGCGCCTACAGGCTGTCCCTAATTTTTCCTGAATTTTTTCCGTGGAACTGAAACGCACTACTGGTACCTGCACATGTTCCGAAAAATCCCAAATTAGGCCCAGGGCCCCTTTTTGGCCAATATCGCAATTCCAACACGGCGGCTCCGCGTCTGGTTCGTCTTCTCCGGCGAGGGCAGGCGGCTAGGGTTTTTGTGGTCAGGTGTGGGGGTTCTATTTATACCTTTTTGCCTTTTGATCTCAGCCGTCCATTTTGATTTAATTTGGGCCGTTCGTTTTTGATTGAATCTGGACCGTCCGTGCGATTGCATCTGGGCCGTCCGTGCGCACGCTTGATCTTGGCCGTCCGATCGCGCGTACGCGGACTGCCAACGTGGCCCGTTCTCGGTCGACGTGGTTTTGCCACGTGGCAGGTCCTGGTTGGCCAGGACTGCTGACTGGGTCTGCTGACGTGGCTGCTGACGTGACGTTTTTTTATAAATTTTTCGGGTGTTACATGCGTGATCGATTTTGGGCCATCTGATCGTGGGGCACGCGGATCGCCAGTGTAACCTCCTGCGTGGCACCCGTGTCAGTGTGTCTTGTTGCGCAGCGCGCTCCGGTTTATCGAGACTGCTGATTGGGCAGTACTACATGACCAAATTTTTTTTTTTGCACTTTGACCTATCTATTCTAATTTTTCTTTGAAAAATATCCCTGAACTCAAATTTTCACAACTTTTTTTCAATATTATTTTCAATCTCGTCCCTAATTTATTTTTTTTTCAAAATTTCAATTAAATAAAAATAAACTAAATTAAATAATTTAAAAATATTTCGGGTTGGATTTCGAACCTGGGTATTACCCTATTTATTTCCTACGTAAGTCTCATTTATATTTTATTTATTTATAATTTAGTATTTAATCTAAATTTTTATATTTTTTATTATTATAAGGTATCTTTTATTAAAAGCTAAGTTTCTTTCTCTTTTTTTTTTTTCCTTAGAATCTCTGTTACTACTTTATTTCTTTTTACTTGTCAAACTTCATTTTTTTTCTTAGGACGATTCCTCACATTTAAGGATTTAAAACTTTCTAAATTTATAAAATTCATTCAAAAAGTTTGTGACATCATTTTCATCACATCCCAATTATGCCCAACCTAACAAATATCAAATATACTAGGACTAAGAACCCTAATATCATCATAATAATGGAAAGCTTCAATTAATTATTTTTTTTTCTAAATATTTTTCTTAAAAAATTACTCCTGATTAGAATTTTCTTTTTTTATTTTATAATTTAATTTTTATTATAATAATTGATTCTTATATACCACGTAAAAATAATTCATAAACTAATCCCCTTTTTATCTCGATTTGATTGATCCCCGAATGATCATCTAAACTACTATTTTCATCCATGTCCCTCAACCATTTAATTCGAGACTTTGAAAACATAACCAAATAAAATGATTATAGTGATTTAATTATGCTTACAAAAGTTTTGTTTCTTTTGACATGATTGTAAATGAACTTTCTTCTCTTATCCCCTCTCAATATATATATATATATATATATATTCTTTTACACAAACAACAATCAACAAAAGAAAAAAAAATCACTTTCTTGAGGAAATACAACAGGATTGACTCACTGCAAAATATAGCTACTTTGAAATGCTAGAGTTAAGAGTTGATGATTAATTTGCTTTATAAATTTTAAATATGTATGTATTCATAATATTGAGCTTATATACAAAAAAAAAAAAAAAAATTCAGTTTAATTAGCATATTACAGAATAATGTGCGAGAAAAATTTCATTAGTGAACTTGTCCGACTTAAAAAAGCTTCATATATAGTCAATTGATGAACCCATTGGGAATAGATGAAGGTTAATTGGGAGGATATTTTTGGAAGGCTCTTGTTGTTAAATGAATTTACATGTTTTTTTTATACATTTGTTAGTTAATTTAAATTAATTATTATTTAGTTTACTCTACTTCCTGAATGGACAACTTGGGTTCTCTTGATTGGAATGGCATTGTATGATCTTGCTGCAGTTCTATTGCCTGTTGGGCCATTAAGGCTCTTGGTGGAGCTTGCCATGTCTAAGGATGAAGATATCCCAGCTTTGGTCTATGAGGCTAGGCCTGTGACTCCTCATGATTCTGGTTCAAGTAGTGGTGTACCTCAAAGGAGAACTTGGAGAGAAAGGAGAAAATGCTGGACATCATTTGGTTGAGAGTTTGAATTCTGGGTCTCATTCTGATGTTAATGTTTTGGGTTCAAACAGGATACTTGGTACTAGCGTAGCAGTTGGAAGTAATAATCGTGAGATGAGATTGGTTAGAGCCGAAGAGGGGAGGGTTTCGGACAGAGAGGCTGAGCTTGCTGCACCATTGATTGATAATAGAGTGAACACTCAGTTGGATGGACAGGAAAATGCTGTTGTGCCAAATGAAAGTTTCATACTAGGAGGTATAGGATTGGTGTTATCTGGCGCCATAAAGCTTGGGCTTGGAGACTTTATCTTCTATAGTGTGTTGGTTGGCAGGGCAACGATGTATGATCTGATGACAGTCTACGCATGTTACCTGGCTATAATTGCTGGTCTGGGTATTACACTTATACTTTTGGCCTTTTATCATAAAGCTTTATCTGCTCTTCCTGTATCAGTTGCATTAGGTGTGTTGTTTTATTTCTTAACTCGTCTCCTACTTGAAGATTTTGTCGTACAATGTTGTACAAACCTTCTGATGTTCTAGAATAATAATTTATGTTATTAAGGTCTAAATCTAGGCCCCAGAAACTTTTCTTTGTGGAATCCACGATTTATTTTCAATTTTCATTCTTTCTACAAAGTGATTGTATATTTTTGGGCTGAACTTCGCGTTTTTTATTGATTGGTTGTTCTGTGAGAAAATTCCAATTTCATCATTTCCTCGGTATATGTTAATAATTTACGTGAGAGTTTTGGACAAAATTCTTTATTTCTTTTCTATATGTTGTCATGTTGCTTTATGGATTTTTTTGTTCTCTTCATGCTTTGTGAATAAAAACTTCTGTACATTATTTTTTTCCGATTAATGGAAGGGTTGAAGGTACAGCCAATTACAAAAGAAAGTTACCAATTTGGTTAGTGAATAGTGCTGAGGCCATGTGAAGCACAAGAGAAGAGATGAAATGATGAACAAAAATCATGGGTAATATTTTTGGAGACTTAAAAGAGACAAAAGGGTAAGTTTTTCAAGAAAAGTTCCCATTTTTGTATGAAGAGTTCTCATAGACTGTTGTTTCACGAAAAAAAAAAAGTAAAGAGGTTTGAAACGAACTTTATATTTGGCAGAAGGAAGCTGATGCCGATGTGTGCTGTAAATTCTGTAACTTTCATTACGTTATAAAGCAAGATAACATCTATGCTGTTCAGTTGCTTATGCAAAATATAGCAGTTGAAGATTTTTTTTTTATAAATTTTTGAACTTCATATCCAAGATAAAGACCGAATAGATGCTAGTCATTTGTGACTTGACAAATGTGCTCAAGCTGTATTAACGTGGAATCTCACTGTCCACCGTATTTGGGTGGGTAAAAAGGATGTTCTCTGCCATAAATAAAATCGGTTAGGACAAAGCAATTAACAGAAAACAAGAGATGCACAGCTAAAATGTGTGAAGTGAGAGAGAGAGAGAGAGGCATCTTTAAGGTGTTAAAGATAATAGGGGGAGACACAGGTGTTAGTTGTAAACAATTGCAGAGAAATGTTATGATATATATATATATATATATATATATAGATTTTAGGTGTTTCATTATGTGAATAGTAATATGGAGAGGAATCAACAAAAGGTAGATTCTACCCTCTATGATCATCAACTGTGCCTGCTTGTCATCTTAATAATAAAGAAAAGCTATAGAGAAATGCCATGATATATAGATTTATTGTGTGGTAGGGTTTTATGCCATTTAGGACGCATCGTCGGATGAAGAAGATGAGTCTGTTTTCCCATCGGAGGATGTTATCTATGGGCAGCAAGTGGAACCCCACTTCGACCTTACCAAGTCTATGCTACAGGCTAATTACTTCGCATCCAACAAGAAACCAAAGCTCACTGCTGAAGAGAAGAATATAGAAGTCGGCATAAAAAAAATGCCAAGGCTTCTATTTCTTCTGGTTGTGGCAGAGTTGTGGAAGGGAAGGGCAAGATAGGGCCAGGGTTTAGCGACCTGGGGGAATTGAGGAGCGTGCTGGAGGAGCTGATGATGGAAGTCATAATTCCGTTCCACCATCCGCAGTTGCCGCAGTGGCTGGGTGTGAGACCCATTGCTGGTATTCTGTTGCATGGCCCACCTGGCTGCGTTAAGACCAAACTGACTCACGCCATTGCGAACGAGACTGGTGTTCCATTCTAATCAGATTTCCACTACTGAGGTTTTATCTGGTGTCGCTGGTATGCATCGCCTTTGCTTTTCACTCAATTAAGATTTTTCTTTCACTTACTGTACTTTTAAGTTTTTATTAGGAATATTTGAAAGATAGTAATGCAAATAGAACATATTCCTTTTGCTGTTTATATACTATAGATCAGTAGAAAGTATTACTTTCTAAAAGGATAAAAATCACGAAGAAAGATGGCAAAAATATCAGAAATGAATTCATGCACAAAATCAGTGCTAAGAATATTTTGGCTATAATATTACTTGTGAGTTCCCACCCAATCGGGGGATGTAATTCTATGCCTTCTTTGCATTACTAGATCAATCTCTCTAGAATGCAACATCCTATTTGTTCACCTTACACGAGTTAGACTTCTGATACAGAATGAGAATATTTTGGTTATAGAAAATATTTTTGTAATTATTGTCAAATCTGAATTATATAGGTTATTCAGTAAATTGTAGTTAGTTTTAGTAGGTTTTGAATTTAACTAATCTTTATATTGAGATATATTACTTGTTAATTGTGATTAGGGTTGTAATTAGTTCATAATAAACACTGCTAACCTAGACAATAGGAGAAAGATGAATTGAGGAATACTTCCAGGGTTAAGTTCTTCATTTACCTTTGTGTTCTCTATTCTGGTCCATTTTTGTTTTCTGGCAAGTACTATTTATCTCTCTATATTTCCTTATCTTACTTCTTGCACTTATTTTTGTCATTTGTCCTGCTCTTTTATTTTCTCACCTTAGTTTCCTCTAACCCTATAGTATTTGGATAAGTTGGTTCCAAACCGTACTTGTCCTACATCAATTTTGCCTTAGACCGTACTTTTCCTACATCAGTTTGGTCTCAAATCCTACTTGTCCTATGCGATGGGGATAAAGCCACCTGACCTGATGGTTTCTCTATGTTTTTTCTCCAAAAAAATTGGAATGTTGTCTGCTGTGTTCTTTGTAGGCTATTTGATGAATTCTGTGACTTCAGAAAGTTTGTTGATTGCTTGAACTCTACCTTCTAAATATTGAGGATGTTGGCAATATAAAGGACTAGAGGCCAATTAGCCTAGTGAGTAGTTTCTTACAAATAGACAAAGTGCTTGCGTTAAGGCTAAAAAGAGTCGATCAATTGTTGGGAAACTCAATACAGCTTTTTGGAGGTTGTTACATTTTGGATGCCCCATTGATAGCTAAAGAGGGAGTAAATTCAATCATCCACTCGGGGGGAATGGGTTTGATTTATAAGTTGGGATGTTGAGAAAGTCAACAACTACAAACAAGTGGCGTGGTTTTTCTTGGAGTATCTTTAAGGAGAATAGGATTCATTACAATATGGAAGAAATATATTTTAAGAAGTATTATCTCAAAAAAAAAAAATTAAGAAGTATAATCTCTTCCACCTTTGTAGTTATGATCAATGATGGTAGACTAATTTCTTACATTCTTCTAAGGGATTATGGAGGCTTTTAATAGAGTGCTGATGTAGGCTAGAGATTTTTACTTCATCCAAGACTGAATATTGGGAGAGGTCGGAGAAGTAAAGTGGTATTGCACTTGCTTTTTTGCTGATGATTTTCTTTTGTTCTGCAGGTGAATTCGAGACAAATTGTGTAACTTCAGATGCTTGCTTGTGCGCTTTGGGGTGCTTTTCGGCGTTAAGTTACTTGGAAAATTTTGCTAGTTGTTTCTGGGGAGTTGAATGTGTGAGGGTCCTAGGATGTGAAGTTAACAAGATGCCCATTAAATATCCGGGTTAATATGTCAATACTGCTCTAGTACATTTCCTAATACCTTTCTTTAGAATATAGAGTTGGCTAATACCTTCTAACTCACTTATATATTGACAGTTTTCAAGTGTTGCCATGAGCAACTTTTATGTAGCCAAAAAAGAATCTTTTGACTTTTTTTGGGTTATTTGGAAAGAAAAAAAATGGTATAGCATTTGATAGTGTTGAAAGTAGTACTAATAGATTAAAAGATAGGTGGATTCATTATTTTGGGTCTATTTTGTTAGGTTATGACATTATTAGTGATGTGGATTTGAGAATGTTATAAATACACTAACATTATTATAATTTTTTTGTAAATGGGCGGTACCCCCGTTTTTGGTACTTTGTTAATGTATGCCTTACACTTTTTATCTAAAAAAAAATGTAGCCAAAACAGAATCCCTTATCGTGAAGGTGTTAGAACATGATGCTTTCCTTGTTATTGTTTAGCTATTTCTACAAAATGACATTTCTCTTTTTCAATTATGAAACTAAGAGCTCCTTTTTCATTTTCTGATGCTAAGCACACTTGAGCATTTTACTACTTAAATAATCTTTGCTAATAGAACTTTTTATATCTTTGATTTGATTTGTTTTCTGATGGGTTTGCCTTTATACGTTTTAAAAGCTAGTTGCTACTGGTTTGTGGCTGGTTCAGCACAACCATTTCTTTAAGCTTTTGGTTGGGTCCTGCAATACTAAATAACAGCAAGATATTTATGAAGTTATTCTGTCACCTTAATAGTACTATATTCTCTTCTATTTGGTTCCCAACAAATATATATGGTTATTTCTGGTTAACATTGTGAAATTTTTCAGGTGCATCAGAAGAAAATATTAGAGATCTTTTCTCCAAGGCATACAGGACTGCACCATCAATTGTATTTATTGATGAGATTGATGCAATTGCATCAAAGAGAGAAAATCATACAGAGGGAGATGGAGAGACGAATTGTAACACAATTGATAACTTGTATGGATGAATCTCACAGACTTGATCTACCAAGTGATAAAGACCTGAACACAGAAAAATCTGGTTCTTTACCTGGTTTTGTCCTTGTAACTGGGGCTACTAACAGACCTGATGCTATTGACCCTGCATTAACGAGCCCTGGAAGATTTGACCGTGAGATTTTTCTAGGTGTTCCGGATGAGATTGCAAGGGTTGAGATTCTCTCTGTGCTGG